TAGCAAATAGTCTTTGTTAACAAAATGATTTAAGGGAAGCTATAAAAACTTTAATATTTACGTACAATTCTTAAGCTTTAAAGTTAAGTTTTAAGTCTCTGACTTATAAGTCTCGCTCAACTGTTGTTAATACAGCCATTATTATGCGAATATGGCATGACCGTCACGGATCTGGGCAAACCTACACCTAGCCACGTCTTAGGTGAAAATTATATCAAGTTCCCGCAGCGTAACATTAGCAGGTCTGGCGAGGTTGTTATATGAGAAGCTATTACAAGTGCACAAGTTGCTTGCCCCGGAAGTAAAATGAAGACCATGATTTAGCCGTGGAGAATCTCTCGGATCCTTCCATGAGATTCTCGTGCCACAGGAGGCACTAAGCGGTCGTCTAATTCGAAAATGAGCGGTCTACGCGAGGTCCTCATATGCACAAGATCTTTACATTCGCCAGATGCCGGGAGATTATCTAATTATCAATTTAGAGGGGCGTCTGCATGCGCGAATACCCAGACAACCGTCTAATTTCTAAGGTAGCGGAACAACTCTATCTTTGCGGGTAGGGAAGGTTCTTGCCTACGACTCTCGCATACGCAGTACAGCTGTAAACAATTGTCTTACTTGGCTCGGAATACTTAACAAAATGAGTAACCGTACGTCTTGACAAGAAATGATGATGGAGCGATGCTTTGCTATTTTCCTTTTTACGAGTCTGCGGTATTCGATCTCTCTTGGAAATGCATTTACATCTGAAAGAAGAGAAGGCGGAATCGCGCCGGGACCAACGAAGCGGTAGATTACCAAGACCGTGCGATGTCGTTTACTCGTTTCACGCCCGTTGCCATATATCCATAAAGAAGTCGCCTTTATGTATTACTATGAGAGCCTTTGATGTTATACATACACATATATATATACATATATATATATATATATATATATATATATATATATATATATATATAATTCGAGTATCGCTTTGTTCGCGTAAAACTTGAATCGGATCTAATTGACTGTCGCGACGTGATATCCTTTTTATTGCAATTGTTTTTGCCCAATGGACGCGACGCGAATGTACGACGGAAATTTCGAGCGAGAAGGATCGCGCATGGCTCCTCCTTCCTTCCCGAAGGATCACCGCTTTCCGGCGAAAGGACGAATTTTTCGTCCGCCCTTTTAACCGGCGTCGAGTCTCCATTTCCCTTCGATGACGAGAACCGAAAAACACCGTTGACAAATCGCGAAATCTTGCAAACGCGGCACCGGCCGTTAATCCGCGGGCGCGTTCACGGTGAACCCAAGATCTTCGAAAACAATCGCGGATCGAAGGGCGATTGGACGCTTCGTATGTTAAAGAATTTCGACGGGACGCAAACTCACTTCCCGGAAAGGTATTTAACATACGAAGCACCAGTTTGCGAGAGATCCTTTCCACGCTTCCCTCGTACGTATGGAATTTCCCCTATGAGTTTCACCACTACGAATATTATCGGCGACTAATGGAGCGCGCGGTGCGTGCCGCGGATCAAACTCTCCTTCCGGTAAACTTTCCGCGTCGCCCGATCGTAAGCCGTCCTCCCAACTTTTTCGCAACAAACACGTACGCGATCGCGATTGACTGACGGCCGCGTCGAGATGTCTCGACGACGGCGATAAATCCGAACGACGAAGTATACAAACTGATTTTCTCGGTTACTACACCCCGGGTTTCTTTTTCTCGCTTTCTCTCTTTTTTTTTTTTTTTTTATTTACTTAATCGCGTGTGAAGTTTAGCTGCTGGATTCGCTCGGTTTTTGTCCTCACGGCTTTGGTTTTCGTTTTAACTCTGATATTCACTGTTAACACATGCATTGTTCTTTTTTTGCAGTTACAATCGCACGCCCGTTCGGCGCGCCGCTTGAAATTTTTGCTTGTTCTGCGCCTCTCTCTCTCTCTCTCTCTCTCTCTCTCTCTCTCTCTCTTCCGCCGTCTCGAGAGGCCGTCTCTCTTGAATTTCTTTTTTTTTCTTTTTTTTTTTTTATATTTCTTTCTACCGTGTTTTTTCGTGAGAACGCGCGGTTACGTTAGACAACGGAGGATGATTACGTTAAACAACGCGGCCCGAAGAGTCGCCACGGGCTTTTGTCCCAACGAACGCAGATTGCGGTGTAATAGAAAAGCGGAAAACGCGGGTGACGCGTCGATCGATAGCAGCATCTCGTGTCCGCTGGGTTCTCCCTTACGGAATCGAATGGGGGGGGAAAAAAAAAAAGAAAAATTACGGCGACTTCGGAATCGAATCAGCGATCGATCGTCTCGCTTATTTCATTTCGCTATTCAGTTGTAAAAGTATTGCAAATATATATATATATAAACGCGTCCGCCGTAACGTAACCGCGTGTTTGTCTCTCTCCACTTGGCACCACACTCACGCACACACTCTCTCTTTCTCTCCCTCTCTCTTTTTTACTCTTTTTTTTTTAATCCCTTAAACCGCTAATCCTGACCAATCGGATGTTTTCGTACCTCGAGGTACCAGAACTTCTCGATCTCTCAGATTTTCGTTTACACAAACAAAAGGTATTATGCAATTTTACGAAGACTCGACACACTCGGGTTTCGTGGCGTGGTAAACGCTACTTCACAAACGGGACGTGGTAGAACAGTGAGACACAATTAAAGACGATCATCAGTGATGATATATATACGGTAATATCTTAGATCCTGGAATCCTCCTGCCGGTACCCAGACAGAGAGGGTACGACTACCGCGTGTCAAGTGGTGGCAAGTTGGGACAAATTGTATTCGTGAGTAACGATTTTAAATGTATATGTATATCCATCGACGCGCGAACAGCGTGAATTAAAAATCCACGCCCGTTACGTCTCTCGCGAAAATATGCGTTTCTATACGTATCTCGCGACACGCGCCGTTATCTGAAATCGTTCTTCCTTCGCGAATACATTTTGTGCATCACTGATCAACGAGCACAGAACTACACGACGACGGAAACAATAAACATGGGTAACGCTACACCCAAACGACACGAAGACGTGTGAAAAGTTAGGATGTCTTTTTCTAATGGGTCTTCGTGATCTTGCAGATATATTTGTGTCGCCTGGATATAGACGGAAATCAGAAATCAATGAAATTTCGCCAAATAATAAATATTTCAATTTTTCTTTTTAATTTTTTTGAAGATTTTTTTTTTTAAAGAAAGTAGACATATATATTTATTTTATTTATCCGTCGACGATACTACAAACTAAAATTTTAAAAAGTTAGTTTCATGCAAAATTATATAAAGTTTTTGTTTTCTCTCTCTCTCTCTTTCTTTCCCTTTCTCTCACTCTTGTTCGCGCTCTATTTCGTACTCTCGTGACAGTCTACGATACTCGTATTGTCAGTCGAGCCGATGTATGTGATACGCCCGGCTCTTGTTTCGAAAAGTCAAATCGAGTCGATTGCCGCATGCAAGCGGGTCAGTGATTTAATATAAAAAAAAAAAACGACCTGCCCGGTGCATGGTCGACCGAAGTTAATTTTAGAAATGACCGGACGATTTACTCACGCGCGAAAATCTTTGAGGTTCCACGGTGAGGAGCCATCCCCTCTGCTTGTGGCTAGCTCGAAGTGCCTTTAGGCCCGATAACACGATTTATAGGATGTACTAATATACGCATTGTCGTCGACAAAAAAAGAACGCGATCAAAATTCAGTGTACCTTCGAGCGCCGCTCACAGCCCGGGAAAACTCACGACGTGACACCTCATGAGTTTTCGCGCCCAATTTCATGAGTAACCAATAATGCATAAAGTCAAAACAATAATCACTAATTAATAATAAACCGCCGGAGACCCACCAGGGGCCAATATTAACAATTGTAAAAATATGGCCGAGATAAATGCTATTACAATAATTGTTTCTGTTTGTGATCGCCTGTAAAGTATAAGAAAATTAGAACCACGGCCCCATTGTCATCCTCGATTATCAGAATTGATCTGCATTTGATGAATACAATCATCTTGCAATCAACAGTACAATTTTAAAATACTCAAGGATAATGTTGTGACCACGGCAACTCCAATTCTTCTTACTGAAAGAGTGAAAGCAATACGGTAGCTCATCAATTTTGAAATACAAGCCAAAAAGAAACGACTGATTCCGAGACAGGCAAATGTTCGATTCATTTATTATCAGCAGTATCCACATATCAGTTTTCACTACTCCTTTTGATGGAAAAGTCGCCGAAAAGTGAAGAAAGCTCGCGGAAATGTAGCAATAAACTCAAATATCGTATATGAAACGATTTATAATGCGCTTTGCCGGAGACAAATTAGAAGTAATGTACGAAACAAGAAATACACAAAAACAAAAACAAAAACAAAAAAATATATATAGATATATCTATCTCTTGCCGCGCTCGAATTCATCGCTCTGTACTCCGTAATTGCTTTACCTTTCTGTCCGAATTTCCGAGAAGCATACGGCTATTCTCAACAAGTTCTTCCAGCGAAATAACTTAAGTCGGACCTAGATATCAGGGATGAAACTATGTTATCTTTCAAAGAATCCGTCAAGCACAACTGTACGCTTCTCAATTTTCATACGTATCTTAATTTTAATTTGCTTTCGTGGAGAGAGTGTGGAGTAGTGTTTGTTGATTTCTTTTTTTTGTTTTATTTTTTTGGATTTTTTGCAATTGTTTTGTTGTCGATGTAGCAGCGTATAACGGGTGTTGGTGTTATATGTTAAAAAGGAGTGTCCTGCGGTAATAGCGCGTTACTCTGTCTCGGTTAGGCGGTGCTTTCGGTGGTGGTGTTCTGCACCGGCTGGCTCTCCTGCAAACATACACATATTGACGAACATTATTCGTTGCGTGAAAGTTGCAAGAGCGATAACACGAAAATAGCAATAATGCAACGCGTAGTTAAAATATCTTTACTATAATCGTCTATACATCTTTTTTAAGATATTGTGTAAGAGCTATGTGTGGAGAAAATGCAATTCCTTCTAGAAAACAAGAACAAAAGGAGGAAAGATGAGCAAGAAAATAAATTGGACGATCTGCTTCGTCGATCACATCCTAATGCCGGAAGTGTAAGTGAGTGAAAACTGCGGCAACCGAGACGAGCTTCTGCGAGATCAAAAAGAAGGAAAAAAAAAACAAAGCGACGTTACCTGTGGAGCAGGGGCAGCGGCAGGTGCATCCGAATCTTTAGGTGCATCAGACTTCTGCTCCGACTGAAAAGAGTACAAAGAGACACGTGCAAACAGTGTGTGCTAAGCGCTACCGCTCTGTATTTGTCGACGGATTGCGCATTCGCAGTCTCCTAATCAAAAGTTTTCTCTCGTTCGTTTCAAATTGTAAAATCCCACGTCTACTGCTTCGATACTTCGCCACGTTGGAATTACATATGAGTTTTTCAGGAGTCAAACTGATCAATTTCACATATAACAAATACAAATAAAGTCAATTGATAAAGTTATAAATTAATCATGTTTGTCGCTTTTTTTTTCTTCTTCAAAAGTATAAGAAGTAGAATTGACCAACTTGACTTCTGACAGACTCATATTATCATATTAACTTCTGATTACAACTCACGTCAAGATATATGATTGAATGTACGAAAAGAAATGTAAAATTGAAAAAAAATGTTGAATCCTAATGAAAAAAGAAATATTTACAGATGCAATGTAAGTGAAACTAGTGATTCGCAATATATTGAAACAATTCAAAATTTTCCAAGATAATTTTCTAAGATAAAAATTTTTCTTTCAAATGCTGATTTTGTGTATGGACATTCACTGTAATTTTCATTAAGTGTATATTTGCATATACGTAAAAAATATTCGCAAATTCGTCTGATACGTGTCGTCAGTAAAGAATAGATAAGATAACACGAGTTATTTTCTAATTTGAGTAAGAAAGGGTAGAATCAATAATACCTTGGGGGATTTATCGCAGGACTTGGAAGGGATATCGGTAACCTGTGTTTGAAGAGACGTGACGGGAGAGGAAGCGGGATTGGAGGATTTGCGTTTTGTCTCCGCAGATGATAAGCTCTCTACTGTGTTCGTCTGTTGGCTCGACGTCGCACGAGGTCGTCGTACTAATCGTCGTCTGTAACGTGGTTGTGGATTTCTCCGCGAATTATCAAGTTGTGCACTCTCGCCAACAGCCTCGTCATCGGTCACCTGATTTTATAATATATCCAATTTCGGTGTGCAGGTGCGTTTCCGATTGTAGAAAATTTGTTAAGATGCTCGTATAAAATGCTTTATTGTTTTACAAAGTGTGAAAAAAAATTATTCGCAAACAGCACAGAACACATACTCCGTGCGCAGTTAATGCATTAGTATAAAGGAATTATATAGTCTTGCTGAGAAAATATGAGTATAATTTCTAAGGAAATGCATCTAAAATAATATTTTTATTAAGTCTAATACTACTCAGTTTCCTGTCTTTAAATTATAATAACTACCGTGCAGATTTAAACAGTTCGTTCAGATTTGAAACACGATTTATCATTTGCAAGAATGCAAAATCGAAAAAAAAAAAAAAAAACATTTACAATGTGCGAAGTCCGTTGATTACTATTGAATAATGCAGTATTGTTGTCAGAAACAAAGGGATAATGTACACCATTTAGGTGCAAGCAATCGAAATGAATTTTTTCGTGAACCGTGTTTGATGTTATAGAAATTAACGTACAGCAGAACAAAACTGTTTTAAACCGATTGCAGATCAGATATATACAAAGTATTTCACCTACAGTTCCGAGATCGCATATCTCGAAACTCTTTAACAACGAAGAAAAAATATTATAAAAATTCTAATACAAAAATACAATATTCTAAAACACTTTCCTCGTGTAATTTTAAATTAATTATTGTCAAATCGCTCCTACTTCAATTTAATTACAATTATAATACAATAATTTAGTTGTAAGATCTTATTCGTTTTATTGCATCTTGTTCTAACTCTTGTCTCCAAAAAGTATTTCAAGCATTTTCTAAACAATTTCTAAACATGATACAATTTAACGTATTAAAATGTACAATCTCGGAACTTTGGATGAAACAACGCGTGTAAGATTCAGGAAACATGCTAATTCGCAATTGATATGTTCATTTCGACATTTTTTTGTCTACTTGTCGATGTGACAATATTAAGTAACGCTAGCTTGGCTAGGGTTAGATACTAACCCTTACCTGGCCATCCTGACTGCGAGGACGTCGTGGCGGACCACCACCTCTTCCTCCGCGGAAATTGCGGCGGAAGTAACGTCGTGATGGACCACCGCGTCCACGACCACCACCGCGAGGCGGAGCTCCACCTTCACCGCCGGTTCCTTCCGCTTGCTCACCACCTTCGCCAGCATCTCCTTGCTGCTGTGATGGATTGGGCCCGGAACGCCGTCCTCCACGGTAATAACCATCATAATGACGACGCAGCCTATAGCGACGCTGTTGCTGCTGTGGCTGGCCGCCTCCCTCGGCGTTTGCGTCATCGCCGACCTTTCCTTCTCCTAAATCATTAAACAGTCGAATCATTCTCAATATCCACTCTCAAAGAATAAACAATTATACCAACTTGTTTAAACAAATAATAGATAGCATACCTTGTTCGTAACCCTCTTGACCTTCGCGTGATCTACGATTTTGCGGTCGACCATTGCCACGTCTCGGATACACCCAGTGAATACCGCGATATCCGCGACGCTTGTCTGCGGCGTAAGGTGAACCTTTTACTGCTTCACCGGCTGGGCCAGTGACATTGGCTGCCTCGTGACCCTTTTCACCGATAACGACGTCGAATTCAACGACCTCGCCATCTCCCACACTACGTACAGCCTTTCTCGGGTTGTTCTTGACGATGGCCGACTACAATTACACATAACATTAATATATAGCAATTATTTTTAAATTATTAAGTATAAGATATTAGATATAAGATACTTACTTGATGGACGAACACATCT